TACATCCTCGCCACAAACAGCTTGAAAACTGAGGCGGCTGCGAGGAAAGAGAATGGGAAGGTGTGACAGCACTGCTGGAAAAGAGATTAACCGGGAAAGTGGGCCAGAATTCTCCAGTGGGAGACACCCTTGGCAGGGAGCTGCTCGGTGATCTTTGCTGAGGGAGCCCCTCACTTTGGTTGTGTTCTCAGCAGCCCCCTAGATACATCTCCCTCCCCAGTACCACCAGCAGCCAGGCAGCCTCAGCACCAAGGTTCCCATCTGGTTCCTCTCTAGGAAGTATGTTCTGGGCTCCAGAAGGGATGGTGAGTGCTCAGGGCTTGAAAAGGGGTGGTGGGGGCTCAGTCAGGGCTCTGCCCGTCCTGGGGAGGCTCAGGAGAGGAGGTTTCCCCCAGCGAGGTTGTGACTCCACAAGCATTAAGCTTGTTATGGAAAACTGGACAAACAAGCAAAAGATAAAGATCTGGATTTAAAAAAAAAAAAAAAAAAGGAAACTATAAAGTGGATGTTGAAGAAACCTGGAATAAACTGGGATTAGCTACGGGGTAAGACATCAGCACTGCCCACAGCATGGGGAGAAGCATTGGAGAGCTCCACAGCCCCTTCCCCTCCTTCTCACCAACCCCTCTATCTGAGAGCAAGCCACTCTTGCTCCACAGTATTTGTTCCCCCAAAAAGCCCGAGAGCAGAAGGTGGAAGCCTGGCTCTATCCAGCTCCCACAAGCACCATCCACCTGGGAAGGCATGGAGCAGGGAGGGTACCACTAAATAATCCACAGAGCTAAGTGGTTGGCATCTCTGTCCCAGCTCAGGAGGGCTTTCCTCCACTGGCCATTTCTCCTGGAGTGGTTGGGATGAGAGGGAGCCACCGGCCTGGCCGAGGTCACCCCCTTTGGCACTCTGTGCCAGCACCACAGTCTGCCAAGGCACCAGCTCCATTCAGTGGAAATGGTGAGGGTTTGTACTACAAATCTCTGTTTAGGGCAGCATTAGTCATCTACCGTGGGCGTGATTTCAAGACCACAGTTAGCTGACCAAATTCCCTATATAGTCAAGAAAGAGACCGAGAAAGACGGGGGCGTGATCCCAAGTGCCTCCCTTACACTCCTGGAGTCAATACTGCCATTGTGTACGGACTGGTATTTTAATTTCTGGCTGTAGTGAATTTTCTGTGGAATCTGTGAAAGCAAAACAACCTTTTAATACTCCATCAAAGTGGTTTTTCCCATTTTTTTCAGCCGCCGGCGGGAGGCACCGCACGTGTTTTCCTTGTTTGCACTCCCCGCCAATAAACAGCTCTATTTTGGCTACACCTGCCAGGTGTTCCTGAAGCCTTCATTGAGAATCAATCCCCCCCAAAGAAACACCCTAGGAGCAGCATTTCTCTCCCCCTCCCCTCCAAAGGAGCACTGGGGGCCAGATCACAAAGAAGGATTTTTCTAAGGCCTCAGAAAGACAGGGGAAACACACAAAAATGAAAGTAATGGGAGTGAGGAGACAGAAAAAGCACAAAAGCCCTCTAAGGGTTCAAGTAAACTATTGGAATGAGGGAAACCCTGAGCAGTTACAGTCACTGCACAGGTGAAGGGACCAGGAACCTGGGAGATAATAGGACTTAGGATTAGTGAAACACAAATGAGGGAATAACTGAACCAAAAATACATCTGCAGGGACACGGGTCATTCACTGCCAGCTGTCAAGGAACTGCGTAGGAAAGAGTTGCTATCTTTAGTTACCTGTTGTGTGAGGAGGCAGAGAAAATGATGCAGTGATGCAGCAGTGCTGGAAAAGAGCAAACATCATCAAAAGTTCATTCACGAGGGAGGAAGGGGCAGCCCAGTGAGCCTGACACTGGTATTGGTGAAACCACAGGCTATTCAATTTCTGAGCACTTCTACAGTTAGAAAGAGCACTGTGATGCCAGTTTTCTTATCAGATTTCCAAATTCCCTTGTTTCCTCCACCCATCAATCATTTTGCCTTCACACTGCCCTTCAGATTCTGGTTCTTTCCCCCTCCACATCACCATTACCCTCATTTCCCCCTGACCAAAGGTGTTTACATGTTTATGTCAGCTCATCCAGTGACACCAGGACTTTCTATCTTTGGAATAACCAGCAACACTTCTATTTCCATAGACTCCTTTGTGAGTCAAAGTGATGCAATCTCCCAGTTTGCATCCATCAATTGTTCTTGAACAGTTCCCTGGGACCATTTGCTGTTGGCCATTAAGTTCTGTTGGTCACATTAAGTTTTGTGCCATTGTTTCCATTTCCTGACTGGAGGAAAAGGCAAGTCATTGCAGTGCTAATATTAACACGACATAATTTTGCTGTTTGCTTGTGCAAATACTTGTACCTGCAGCTTTGAAAGAATCACTCTTTGAGCCACAGCTCAGTTGGTTGAACACTCATGACCAGCACAAGCAAATGGAAAGCAAGAACAGTTCAGCAAGTTTCTTTAATTATATGCACAAATCTGAGTGGATTTTGTTTCAATACTCTTTACCCAGTTCTCCATCACAACTGTTAGCCTGTTTTCCTATATTTGTGTTTTCTTTCTTTGTCCTGCTTAACTTCATGGTGGTTTGCTTTTCTTCCCATATTCCTAAGATCTCCTCCATTCATCCCGCTACCTCATGAGCCTTTCTCCTTCCTGATTTATCCTTGGCAGCCCTTGGAGCACATACTCTCTATTATAAACTCTGTTACTCCTTGAAATCTAATCTCCTGTTCAGCAGAGTTTGTTTAGGATGGGTCTTGCTTCTCCCTTGGGAATTGTTTTGCACGCTTTTTAGCTACACGTTTTAACCAGCTGTGAGAGACCTCAGCCAAAAACTCCCTCTAAAAATAGGACAGCAGCCACCTCAATGAAATCAGAGATTGCAAAGGAAGAAAACTGTTATTAAGAGTAACAAAGCAACCATGTTACACCATCCATTGTGCTTTTGCATGGTTTGGTACCATCGGCGTGCAACCAAAAGATCCTGATTAACCCGGTGAGGTGAGCAAATGCTCCTGGGTATTTCCTAGAGAAATTGTGGAGGGGGGATTTTAGTAGCTAAACATTGCTGTAGGGGAAATGTCTCCTTTTCCTTAGGGGAAGAATTGTGCCTCGCAGAAGGAATGCCCTCCAGACAAAGCCTTGGGATGAGCGATCAGCATGCCCTGCATTTCTCCCTGCCGTGCCCCACCTCGGCAGAGCTACATTTTCTGCCCGTACAACAAGTGGCAGCTTGTGGAATACTCTTCCTCATTCAAATGAGACACTCTCCAAACAATCCTAGGGGGCAAACAAACCTCCGGTGTCGTGCTGTCAAAGGAGAAAGATCTGCACCCGCACCAGTAAAAAACTGCATTGTGAAATACAGTGTTGACACAAACTAAAGCCAAAGAAACACATCCACCAAACGGAAGGAAATCAAAATTAAATTACCCAACAGTATCATCTCCCTGTTCATTCAGCCGTGTTCCCTCCTAATTTTCTACCAATTCATTTACAGTGAAACTCAATGTATATCTGCACTGCAACCACCTCCAGTTATAGCTCCTTTTTCTGGATTTTACAGCTTGGGAAAGCAGATATAATAAAATAATAGCCTGGTTTAAGCACAGTTTTCATACCCTTACTGTCACAGTCACACTGAAATAGAGTCTGGGGATACAACATTATCTCTTTATATCTTTTATTATCTCTTACTACGGCAAATCCAACACGCAGAAATATATAATAGACCTAATAATAGAAATCAGGAACTTGAGACAGCAATGCAAATCCCCGAGCTCAGTGATGTGATAGGCACTTAGAAGATGCAAATTTGCTTATTGGTTCAGGCAGGTAGTCTGCTGATGACAGCAGGGAGCCAGGCCAGGGCTCACAGACCCATCCCAAAATTTCCAGTTCAACCACAGGTTCCTGAGTTACCTTACTCCAGTCACTTAATCCCGCAGATCTGTTTACAGCTGGCAAAAGGAGAATGCTTGCCTTCCCTATCACAGGGTGATTATGAAGGCAAAATCCCTTAATTGCCGTGAGGAATGAGAAGGTTTTGAGGGCTCTGGCAGCCTCTTGCTGGATTTTAAACACGGCTGCATCTGCAGGAGCAGGACAGACCAGCAGACTTGTGGTCAGGCAGAGCCTGCAGTCTCAGGGCACGGCCAGACACACTGTTTTAGTTGGAGATGCTGTGGGTTTAGAGGTGATTTTTCTCCCCAGCTGCCTGCCACCGTTTTCAAACCCGGGGTGGTTGTGCCACTGCAGACACCGAGTTGGAGGAGAGCAGCCTGTGGAGCTTCAGAGCCACAGTGTTGGAATTAACGGTTTGATATTCGTTAAACTGCTGCGCCATCTATGTTTGGGAGAGGCCCGTGTCACAGACGTGCTCCATCATCCCCAAAATGTCACAATGAGGAACCTCCCGTGCAGTTCAAGTTCTCTGCCACACGTGTCCCTGCACTGACCACACCAATGAGCCGGGGCAGGGTGACACCTCTGGGGGGCACCTTCACAGAATCACAAAATCATTGAGGTTGGAAAAGCCCTCCCAGATCATCAAGTCCACCCTGTGCCCCATCTCCACCTTGTCCCCCAGCCCAGAGCACTGAGTGCCACGACCAGGCCTTCCTGGGACACCTCCAGGGGTGGGGACTCCAGATTTCCCTGGGCAGCCCCTGCCAAGGCCTGACCACCCTTTCCAGGAGAAATTCCTCCTCCTGTCCAACCTGAGCCTCCCCTGGCACAGCTGGAGGCCGTTCCCTCTCCTCCTGTCCCTTGTTCCCTGGCAGCAGAGCTTGACCCTCCCCAGCTCCCCCCTCCTGTCAGAGTTGCAGAGCCAGAAGGTCCCCCCTGAGCCTCCTTTTCTCCAGGCTGAGCCCCCCCAGCTCTCTCAGCTCCTCCTGCTGCTCCAGCCCCTTCCCCAGCTCCATTCCCTTCCCTGCACATGCTCCAGCCCCTCCATGTCTCTCTTCCATGAGGGCCCAGAACTGGACACAGCCCTGGAGGTCCAGCCTTCCTTGCACTTGGGTTGTATTCACTTTTGGGTTGGCCAACTTGTAAGTGCCATCAGCACTGTGATTTCTATTCAAATGCCTCAACCAACATCAGGGAAGGTCCATGAGTCTCCATGTCTGTTCATCTGCAAGGGAGAAACAGTAGGGCTTGATCCATGGAGGTGAAGCTTATAATAAATGACCGAGGGAGCTCCTGCTACAGCTGGCAGGAGAAGCAGCCTGTCATTCCTCAAAACCAAGAGACACCCAAATGCATTTCTTCTCAAACCACTGCCCTTCTCAGTGCTTGCTTTTTGAAGTGCTGTGGTTTCATGTTCCCTTTTCTGAAGTGCCAAGGCGTTGCAGGGTCAGGTGTCCCTGTTTTGGAAGTCCAGCTCTTTTTCTTACTGTCCTCCTCCCAGCTGGAGTAGGATCCCTGCAATAAAGCCGTGTCAAAGATAAAGGAATCACTGCCTGGGCTTGTTTTGACTCAGTTAGAGTCGATTTTCTCCATAGCAGCTGGTGTGGGGCTGTGGTTTGGATCTGTGCTGGAATCAGTGTTGATAATCCAGCAGTGTTTTAGTTGTTGCTGAGCAGCAATTAAACACCATCAGGGGCTTTTCTGTTCCTCAGTCCACCCCACAGGCGAGTGGGCTGGCAGTGCACAAGGAGCTGGGAGGGGACACAGCCAGGACAGCTGACCCCAACTGACCACTGGGATATCCCACACCATATGGAGATGAGGGAAGAAGGAAGGGGGGAAGTTTGGAGTGATGGCATTTGTCTCCCCAAGTCACTGTTACACGTGATGGATCCCAGCTTTCCTGGGCTTGGCTGAACACCTGCCTGCCATGGGAAGTGGGGAATTCTGCCTTGCTTGTGTATGTGGCTTTTGCTTTGCCTATTAAACTGTCTTCAGCTCAACCCACAGGTTTTCTCACTTTTAGCTTCCCAGTTCTTTGGGGAGTGAGAGAGGGGCTGTGTGGGGCTCAGGAGCTGGCTGGTACATGCTGTCCTTCCCACCAGATGAAATGGAGGGGGGAAGGGGTGTCAGCAGAAGCATTTCAGATACTTCCTTCTCAGGAAAGCTTTCCACTGTGTTTTCATCCCAAAAAGAAAAAGAAAAAAAGGTGGTGGTTCAGGTCCTGCTGCCTGTCAATGCCTCATTGGAAATGTGCACAGTCTCTTACAGGCACATCCCACCCCAACGCCAAGGGAACCATTTGCAAGCACAGTCTCTGCAGAGCAGCTCTTGTCTCAGTGCTCTGCATACGCCCTGAAGTGCTTGTAAATACCATTCAATGGCACTAACTACCACTTCACCTTCGAATTATCAGGCTGAGTGTGAATCCGGCTCTGAATCCAGGGATTCTTTCACTTCTCCCTCTCCCCTTTCCCTCATACCCCCTCTCGTGCAGTGACAGCACCTCTTGGGAGCACACGCGGAGCTCTTGCTTGCCGTGTAAGCCACACCCCCCTCCCTCCCATCCTGCAGGGATACAGCTGAGTTCTTGAGAGTAGTGACAAAAAGGAGAACAAAACGTAAATCAATTGTTACAGTGCAGCAAATTCACTGGTTGGCATCCAACACTGTCACCTCTTGGAAGAGCAGAAAAGGGACAACTGGACCACTCACCCATCACTGCCCTGTTCCAAGAAGAGCTTTTCGCTCCCCTGTATTACTCCTCCCGTCTTACTCCCCCAGCAAACCCTGATTGCCAGCTACTTTTTCAACCAGCTTGATGTCACTGCTTCTCCTCCCTTCACCATCTCCCTGGGGTCAGGACAGTCACACAGGCAAAGGAGCACCTACTGCCAGATGTCAGCTGTCTCTCCATTTGGCGTGCCATTTATCATTTATCATTTTAAACGTCTGGGTCAGCAAAGAGATCCCTGTGCAAGCAGAAGCAGCAGTGGCTCCTGTGCCACTGCCCCTCTCCTTGGTCCCTGTGGATGCTGCACACCAGGTGCCTCCGGGTTGAGGCAGAAGCTGCAGGGACATTTCCAAGATCACACCTTCAAACTTAGCCCTGAAATGGATCTTTCCCTTGTGTTTACCTCTCGGCTTCACAGGCCGCTGCCAAAGCAGTGCCCCTGCAGTCGTCAAGAGCTGGAGTTGTAAACAAGGCAGATTTTCCAAGGGAATTTCCAAAAGGCAGTGAGATTCCCAACCCTTGGTGGCTTTCAGCTGCACCCCTTACTCAAACGTGGTGCACTTCAGGGTGTATTCCAAAGAAGGTGATTGTCCTGGAGAGGTACTGAGTGGTTAATTATTCAACATTGGTTGGGGGGGGGGGGGGGTGCAGACCATTAATGAGGGCAGAATCACACGGCAGCAGCTCATCTGAGGAACCCTGGGAGATACATGAGCTGTTCATGAAAACTATTTTATTGTAAAGAGCGTTAAAGGCATCCTTTAAACTGCTCCTCCTCGGTATGTTTTATTAGCAATTCGTTTCTGTCACACCTCAGGTCAAGCTACTGTAGGTCTTGTGGCGATTTTTTTTGGTTTTTAACATGGTTTTACTTAACTGCTGTCTGGAAGATTGTTTTGAATCCTCTGTGTGCCCTGTGAGCGGCTGTCTGGGTCCTCTTCCAAGCTGACCTTCCACAGCAAAGCATGAAACTTGACTGTGTTCAGCCTTGTGTGACTGCCATTGCTAAAGGACCACTGCCACACACTGGCAAACTTGGAAATACCTAGTTGCCTAAAGTACTGCTGATTTTTTTTTTTTTCCTCATCCAACATCTCTTCTTCCCAAAGGATTTGTGTGGAAACAAGATTTCTTTCTTTTCTAAACCAGATTTATCCCTCTACCTCATTCTGTCGGAGATGCTGCACAATTTGCTCCACAGGATACCCCGGGCCAGGTCCAGTCCCGCTGTCCGTAGGAGTCCGGGTGTGGCCCTTTGTGACATGGGGGCACCTTCCAGGGCCCTTTGTGATGCGGGACATGGGTGTGCCCAGAGGCCTTTGTGACACCCCAGACCCCGCCCTGACCCAGGGGTATATAAGGGCTGCAGAGCTCAGCCAGGCCCAGTTGCTCCCCAGGAGTGGCTCCTTCTCTCTCTCTCTTTCTCTCTCCTCTCTCTCTCTCCTCTCATCGGTCTGGCTGACCCTTTTTTTTCTCCTCCTTTCTTCTTCCTTCCTTCTTCTGTTTCCTCTTCATCTTCTTCTTCTTCTTCTTCTTCTCCCTCTTCTTCCTCTGTAAGGACGTGTTCCTTACAGAGGTGCACACAGTGCATTCGGGGAGTTGCAGTTCCTGGACAGGCTACAGGGACACATCTGCTGGCACAAGTCTTCTGGTTCCTGGACAGCACAGGACCAACGTGCGCCGCGCTGAATTGTTTAGGCACTGATAAGGAGACACTTTGAAACTTTGAAATAAAGATATGGTTACGTAACCATACCTGCCGAGTCCTGTCTCTTTATTTTACATTAATAT